TGAACTAGAGACACACAAGTTATGCAGACTTGACGGTGTCCCTGTTTTTGTTGTAAGGAATTGTTTTCCTGAGCTGGATTTTCTCTGCAAAATTTAGAATAAATGCCCTACCGCTTCTTGCTTTCCATCTTGTTGGAAATTATTACCTGATATTTTTAAAAAGATTGTTTATCAGACTATTATTTTTAGAGAAAGTGTATCTAGGCTCCGACTTCCGGAGGTTGATAGCTGGTGTCAGATATGAACCATAATAGGGAAGCCGATTTTGATTTTCTGAGCTAGCTTGGCAATGATAGATAGAAGAAAAGTTCCGGACTGTTGTTTCTGACCCGTAAAGAGATGTAGACGTATTCACTTTCGTGTCCGAAACGACTCATCAGTGAGGGGTTAGGGAGACCCCCACTCGATTGTTAGATAATTTACATGTTGACATGATTAATAAAAATATACACGTTATCATTCTCTGTGTTTGAAGCTTTTCATTACAGTTTCTTGCTTCCCTGTTACCTTCAATTTTCAAAAATTTAAATACATCAACAGACATCTTCTGTTTTTCTGCTTACCTGTGCGTTTATGGTACAAGTTCGTTCATTAATATCTTCTCATTTTATTTCATTCTAAGTAAACTCTTTCATCTGGTGGCATTATCGGGTACAGAATGACTCGTTACCGCCATCTCAGCGCCGCAGACTCAACACCACCGCCTCAACACCACTGAATATGTAGATTGGTGGGGATTTGTTCTGGAATTAGGTTGTCACTGAGATGAGTCAGCAGTGTTGAGTCGGCGGTGATAAAATGTCCCACACCGGCATTATCGTTTTGGGTGAGGCGAAATGTCTACGAATAAAAAAATGTAAAATATAGCGCGAAAAAAACGAAACAGAAACGACGTTATTCTGCTCGGCTAATTTGTTTTCTGTGTCGATAAACAGTATATAACACCTGTACATTCTCAGGTACACACGCCAACATACACATCTATCTATCTGTCTATAATAGGCCGATGCAAGACATAATATAATAATCCGACACCCTCCCTTGATTTCTAACAGTTCAAATCAAATATTAACTTTTTTGCAACACAGGAAATTATATCGGTGAAACAAGTACGGTAACCCGTCTTTGGTTTAATAAACATGAGAAAACTATCAAAGACAACGGCATTAATTTAACTATAGATGCGCATCTGAACTTAAACTACCATAATATTGATAACGTTACACGGGTTCTTTTAATGTCGTCATTTAAATACCAAACAGAATGCCGAAAATCCGAATTCAGAAAAAGTTTTTAAAATAAATTCACACATTTTAGGTTTAATCGGGATTAAATTTAGGCATACTCACTGAATACTGTATCCCAAAATAAGCCATTTAGAAATCCTTTACAACACTAATAGTGGCTAACAACTAGTAGATATTATCAATAACATAATATATGAGAAAAAAAATCCCACAACAAAATTCAACACCATTCTATTTCTCGTTGAAACAAACAAAGACGTAGCCAAAATAACGATTTTAAAAATCTTTTCTCATTATGCTTCTATTTGGGCTAAACGCCTAATAATATACAAGGGTAAGTCAAAAATTATTCGCAATTTCGGCATAACTTTAGACAAGTGTGCGAATAATTTTTGACTTTCTTTGAAGATAGATAGAAGATATTATTATACATTATTATTTTTGTTTTCGTTATTATTAATGTTTTTATTTTTTCCCATCGACTAATATATCTAAATATTATAAACAGTATACGCGGACAACTTTTCTTTTAAATGATATATATATATATATATATATATATATATATATATATATATATATATATATATATATATATATATTCATTCATATGAGTCAAACCTACAGTGCTAGGCAAACCTATCAAGGTTTCACCTAAGCGGATCGTCAAGGAAAATTGATTCATTACTCGTATCGGTGTTTTTTTCTTTGGACCTGTATGCTGTACAATTATTTTCGACAGACGTTCATGTTCCTAGCTCTTTCTTTTTTTCTTAAAACCTTTTTTTTCCTTCGAAATTGATTTGATCATTAGCCAATCAAGAAAAAAAAGAAGGTTTTTTGAGACAGTGTAGTTACCTATAGATTTATTCATTCATACATATATATATATATATATATATATATATATATATATATATATATATATATATATATATATATATTAATATTTATTCATTTATATATATTTATTTATTTATTTATATATATTTCATTCATATATATATAAATATAAATATTCATTCATATATATATATATATATATATATATATATATATATATTCGCTTTCTAGTTTTTTATATGTTTAAAAATTTTTCCATAATTGCTTATATTTTTATTTATTTCCCAAATCAGTTACATTCAACGTTTTTTTTTTTATAATCTTTTCGACAGGTAAATTATATCCCCATGAGAGGACTCTGAAAATATTTGTTCATGTCTAGACATTTCTTCAAACGCGAACTTCCTGTTTCCTGTCCAAAACGAACAATTGAAAAAGAATATATTTCCCGACATAAACAAATAAATATATTTACAATTTTGAATTTGGTTATCTTGGAGCTTTGTTCAAGAAACACAATACACTACAATACATAACATATATATATATATATATATATATATATATATATATATATATATATATATATATATATATATATATATTCATTTTCACAATTGTGTGTGTGTGTGTGTTTTCAGAGAAAGATAATCGAAAGAAAATAACTAACAGTATTCATTGTCTAGGTCTTTTGACCAAATGGAAGCATGATGAAAAATATTCTAAAACTCTTAATTTTCAGACACGTCTGTGTCTTTTCTCAACGAAACGAGGAATTTGTCTTTTTCTTGTTGTTTTGTTGTTTTGTTGTTGTTGTTGTTGTTGTTGTTGTTTTTTTTCGATGGAGTGTGTGTTATATTACGGAAGAGATCGGATAGTTTTACGCGTGTTCTTTTTAAAAAATGAATTTTACACAGAAATTTGTAGAATGCTGTATGTAAATTTTCTTTTCCATTATATATATATATATATATATATATATATATATATATATATATATATATATATATATATATATATTTAAGTATATAATTGGTATATACGGAATGAATTCCAATAACCAACAATTACTATACTGGGTGCTTATGTATTATAATCTGATTGTGTTTTTGTTGTTTTGTGCGTGAGTTTAAGACCACATTCACACACTTTAGAATAAATATACATGTATTGTCAAATGACCGGATATTGTAGCGTCTTGTCGAACCTAATTTCAACGTAGGAATAAATTGAATAACATCTATTTTTTCTTTTCTCAATAATTTTATAGTTTTTAAACTTAATAGTGATTAAATTTGGATTTTAAAATTGGCAGTTTTTAATTTTAATATTAAATTTTATCATATAATTTTATAATTATTGGTTAGAATAAATTCTTTTTAATATTACCCATATTTTAAAGATCTGAATAGCTATTATAACATGATTTCGTTGTCAAGCTTTTGAATCTTTCTATACTTGGATTTTGATTGGTCATTCTAGCTTTTGTAACAATGTTTTCCCCTAGTGAAGGATCGTTAATTAATTTGAAACTTTTTAAAACCATTTATTTTATCTTCAACATCATCATTTGATAAGACACCGAGGGGTGTTGAAACAAAATAGCTATTTTTGTAGTGATTTTATAACATATTTATGTTATAATTTTTATAAATAAATATATATATATATATATATATATATATATATATATATATATATATCTTGAAAGGGCTATGTCGGAGGCAGAACCAGGTAAATATACTTGGAAAGAGGAGACATCAGCTTTCGGTTCTGGTCTTCCAGATGTCTGAATACGCACCAATATCATCCGAATAGACACGGAATAATGATGGAAGTTTCCTCTTAGGCAAATAATTGAAACACAGTACAATGACTTTTAGAAATTATCTTGACTTACAACAATGTCCGCAAACAGAGTATTATTACGCTACCTTGCAGCGAGTAAACTTGGAAGCTCATATAAAAGTATTCATGTCTGCTAGAGTGGCGAGATAACCGCCATTTGCTTAATGTTTGGTTTGGTTTTACGGCCTATTAACCTCAATGGGTTATTTAATGCCGACAATTTTATTTCCGGTAATATTTTTTTTTCAAATGTCTATTGGCAATATTTTTCAAAAATGTATAGCAGGCAATATTGTTTATTCAATTTTTTTTTCAAAAATATATAGCTGGTTCGGTTTGGTTTGGTTTGTTTTACAGCAAAATCAACTTCAATGGGTTATTTAATGCCCTCAAGATTTTTTTTTTTTTTTTTTTGGTAATTTGTTTTTCACAATTACATTGATGATAATAATGTTTTACTGGTAATAATTTTTCTTCAAACATTTACTGCTGGTAATAATCCTTTGCAAAGAATTTCTGCTATTAATACCCATTTTTACACTGTCATAGTGTTTTCACCTCAGTTTGGGGTTTAACTATTTACCCATACATGAGACCTTAACATGTGCTACCATTCTGGATAAGGTTGGACCTGGGAACACTAGCAATTAAGAGGTGGTTCCGCGCTCCTCAAATCCTCCTGATCAGAGGCATTGCTGCTGGATGAAGTTTATCGTCTAGCCCAGGACAGCCCATTTTATTTAGTAAATTTGTTTTTGATTAATATACACAAAGCCGAATACTGGTTTATAATGTTTACGTTTGGTTGATATTTACTTTAAACATTGTCGATTACTTATTGCCGAAATATAAATATATGCAGTATTTTAGGATAATACTGGTTTTAGTGATAAAACTCTTACTATTTAATTCATATCTGGAGGGAGGAGATAGATTCATATCTTTCCGAAGGATATTTGCGCGTAAGGGAATAAAAAATATTCAACAAGTATTGAAATTCGGCTCTCCAGTCCTTAAGAATTTCTAGCCATTATCAATTTCACCATCCATGCATCCAGATTAACAGTACCCGGTATTCCCTAGTAATCACCCATCTAGCTATAGACCAGGCTCAACGTTGCTTAACTGTGGTGATCATACGGGAATCGGTATTATCAAAGTAGTATGGACATCCAAGCTTGCAGAATTTGTTCTTCCCAAGCTGTCAACCATTTAGTTACTGAGCAAGCAATACGTTGCTTAACTTCGGTAGTCTTACTAGAACATGTGCTTCAACGTGATATGGCCGTTATAATGACACTATGGTGAGCGAACTAAGTTACAGTTAGTAGGAGCGAAAGTGAATAATCTCTCATGATAAATATTTCGAACAATGCGTGTAACTTCGATATTAACCATCGATTGGTTCTGAACAATTCCTTCTACCCAATGTTCCTCAAAATTCTTTAATCAAACCAGTTTATATGTCTTCATGCACTTCCCGATAGGACTTTTTAGTTGCATATTACCCCACTAAAGCTACCCACCCTGGAAAGATACGAAATCCGGCCTCAGAATTCCAACTCTTGTTACTAAAGCTCCTGTAAAAAAAAATTGTAAATCAACTACCATTTTGTAAATCTATGATTAAACTTCCATCAATCTTTTTCCTTTAAATTTACCAGAAGTATTTCATAGCAGGATAAGTCTGTCTGTAAAAATATATCTGTCCGGGCAAATCGAAGCGAATTCAAAATGTTATAGAATCCTGGTAGATGAAAAAATCGTTCAAATTTTGTTATTTAAAGAGTTACGTTCGATTGTTGTAGTAGAAACTTTCACAGCTCAGGCGTCCTTGACGTCATGAGAAACCCGTTTCAAAGTTGTTATCAACGAAAAAGCCTTTGTGTCTATTCGATAAAAACGAATAGATCGTGTTGTCGACACCTGCATGATCGACCTGGTCACTTATGTACAGTTCACGCTTTTTCCAATTTTTATTCTGTTTTGAACATTTCTGGCAACAATGTACTCACTAGCCTTCAGCATTATAGCAATTCTGTTTTGTAGCCATTGTTCTGTAAGTGGTAAAAAATAACAGGTTCCTTCAAAGTGCAACAGAGGTACATTTCTCGCGTAGAGTCATTGCTCGAGAAAATAACTGGACTACAACTTTATATAACTATATTTAGCATTCCTCTATTAGAAAAGTGCAATTAATAATTATATAAAAAAAAACTTGCTTACTTTATAAATTCAAATAAACTGTTTGTTAGGGAGTGTTCAGTATTAGACGGCAACATATCAATGGCTTTGGTAACATTATTTAAACAATGTTGAGTTTGATCATAGTTAATTATTCGCAATATGAGTTATGGTTTCAGGAGGACAATATTGTACTTGTTTCTATGAAAAAAAACGTCTATTAATCTCCTTAATTGTAGGCAATACCAGTACATAGCGTGATCTTCTACAGATATATACTAATAGACACACAGACATACACAGACACACATATAAATATATATATATATGTGTGAATATATATATATATATATATATATATATATATATATATATATATATATATATATATATATATATATATATATAGATAACATGAGAGAGAGAGAGAGAGATTTTATAGATAGATAGATAGATAGATGTTATACCTTCAATGGACAAAAAACACAATTCTGAAATTATTTTAAAGACATTTTATGTTTATACATTGTTTCTTCATACAAATATTTAAGTAAATTGCACTGTTTATAATAAACAGTATTAAACAACATTTCCCTGAATGTCCGAGAAATTTTCACAAAGAATATTCATCCTATTTGTATCTATAAAAAGAATGTATAAACATAAAAATGTCATAAAATAATTGTCGGACTTTGTCCATTTCACAATGTGTGACGTCATTTGTTTACATTTGATACGCCATGAGCAGACACGAATGTGCGTGAGAGATTCATAGACGATTGAAGTTCAAATACAGTAAATTCCACCTTGCTATCCGAACGCTCCTCTGTAGCCAAATCGGTTAAAGGCACGTCAATCTAATGACGGTTCCGCATAGGATACAGGTTCGTATCCTGTCGGTGACGAATATTTTCTATGAAAATTTCTCGGACATTCAGATCGTTAAATGTTGTTTATTATAAATAGAGCATTTACTTAAATATTTGTATCTATAAAAAGAATGTATAAACATAAAAATTGTCTTACTATATATATATATATATTTATTAAAGGTTTTTTTTGTTTTTTATTCTTTATATATATATATATATATAATATATGTTTATAATAAATTTATAATAATATTTACCGGCCTGAATGTCCGAGAAAATTTTCATTCAGGCATATAAATGTTATTTAATACTATTTATTATAAACAGAGCATTTACTTAAATACTTGTATCTATAAAAAAGAACGTTAAACATAAAAATGTCTTTAATAAATAAATTGTCGGACTTTGTCCGTTTCTTCATATATATATATATATATACATGAATGGACATTGAGGTCAACACCCAGCGCTGCAATCTGTTTCAAAATTAAACGCAATGTTCATTGATATTAACATACGCTCTATCGCCGATATCGAAGATCACCTTAAATGATAGATATAGGAAACCTTAAATACAGGCAACATTTTCCAAATCGTGTAACAGCAAAATTGTCCGATCGTAAGATTAAGATTTGCATCGTTGTATCTTAGAAATGATTAAAGATATCTTACTGGAATTTTTTATAACCCTATTGAAACATATTTTGAACAATAAGAATGATGATTCCTCTTCATGTTATGACCTACTGATCTAGGTTGGCTCTTTACGGTTCCCTTTGTTAAACTTGTTCACCTTTCTCTTGATGGTTCTTGAATGGACATTGAAGATGGAAGCCAGCGTATGAATATTGGTGCCATTACTGAACGCCTGAATGATCATTTTCCACTTACATTGCTCAGTTCGAAAGACATAGTGGGGCTGATACTAAACGATTGTAAGCTGTTTTCTTCCGAGATTAAAACCACAAAGTGTTTCTCAGTGATTCCTAGGAATATGGTGCCAAGATGGCTAAACGACTTATCTGAAAACCTGGAGAAATATACTCAGTTAGTGCTTTACAAGATATTAAGCATTTTGTGGAAAGGACATATATCCCATGCTGTTAAACGATTTGGACAATTTTATATTAACCAGGTATATATATATAAAAATATACATACATACACATACACACACACACACACACACACACACACACACATATATATATATATATATATATATATATATATATATATTTATATAAATATATATATAAATACATGCTATTGTATGTAATATATAAAGTGAAAAACTATATTGAAGACAACACTCAGATGTGACGGTTTCATGCTAAACGCAATCATCAGGCCTTCAATGTTAATATATATACACACGCACATACATACACACACACACATATATATATATATATATATATATATATATATATATATATATATATATATATATTGCAAAATGTGCTTTGGCAATATCAGACAGAGTATGGGTACCTGCAATTCAAGTTTTAGGCAAGACGGAAGAGGATTTCAAATTAGGTCAACATCAAATATTCCTGAGGACACGTCTAAATATATTGATGCGTGGTTTTCCAAACTGGCCAAAGCATGTTTGCCTCAACATTTTCACATCTTGGAAGCAGTATATATATATATATATATATATATATATATATATATATATATATATATATATATATATATATATATATATATATTCCACACACACATATTATATTTTCACCTGATGTAAGAGAGTTGTAAGTCTCCGGAGAATTTTTTTTATCCGGGTATATATCCGGGTTTGGTCTATTTTGTTTAGGTTAACATGGGAACAATTTGGGACCAGAGAAAATCTCTTTATATCCGGGTTTCTCTTATATCCAGATTTCTCTATATATCCAAGTCTGTTATATCCGGGTTACATTGTATATATATATATATATATATATATAAATATATATATATATAAATAGATAGATAGATCGATAGATATCTAGAGAGAGAGAGAGAGAGAGAAACCTTTGAATTATTTAATGATTTATATTAAGTGTCATGCTTAGTGGTATTTGAAAAGAGTGACTGTTTTTTAACGGCTTTCCTGAAATTTCTTTTTAATGCAATATATTAAGCGGTTCTACAGCTCGAAATTATTTAAGTCCTTTTGTCTATTATATTATTCACCTTTATAATCATACAACATTATTTTCTCTTCCATGGTTGGTTTAAAAATGCTTATTTATATTTCTCTTCATATTTATCCTTCTCCATTTTGCTAATGCCATTTTTGTTTTATTTGCATCCCAAATATATTTTGATATCATAGTGTGACTCTTTCTTATTTAAATGATAGTTTTCACTCCGATTTCTTATTCAGTTACTCTGATGTGATATTTTTCTTTAAACTTATATATATATATATATATATATATATATATATATATATATATAGAGAGAGAGAGAGAGAGAGAGAGAAAGAGAAGTATTATGCAAGAAAATTCCTATTTCAGACATCTCACGTTGACCACTAACCTGAGAGAATGAGACAAAGAACGAAAAATGGTTTCCTCTGTAGTCCAGTGTGAGACGACGAAGACTGTCTTTCCTTGCGACTACAGACGTCACGCGCCAAGAAAAGTCGTGCCAATTAAGTCGGTCCCCCGGCATCAGTTCCAATAATCATTAAACCACGAGGACAACCTCTCGCCATGAACTTTTCGAAAGTCTAACACAGAAAATGGAAGAAAATGTTGGCAATTTTCCAATTTAGTCTTGGAAGTTTTTCTTTATTTCTTTCTTTTTTTATTTTTGTAATCTATGTACTTTTCCTATCGAAGCACCCACATGATTTGAAGTTTTTCCCTCTGAATGGATAGAAAGCTTAAAATTTAAATCCTTACTACGACTGCATCTATCATTAATAATAATACTGTTTCTTACTCTAATACTGCCATGTACTGCAGGAGTATATTCATTTGATTAATTGATCAGGAAAATATTTTAAGGTTATAATAATTTTTGGAAGATAATAATGATTCACTGATAAAAGCCCTACTAATAAACCTATAGCTGGGGGAAGAAGAGATGGATTAATACCATTAAGAGTATTTGCGTA